AGAACCCCAAAGGTCCCCCAACCCTATTTTTGCTCTCCCATTCTCATTCCAAAACCTCGGACAGCACACTTTGGGCATCATCGGCCAGATCTGCCACAAACGCATCCAGAACCTCTTGTATCTGAATTAAAGCATAACCTGAACTGAACACTGGTAGCCACCAGTACAGTCCGCTCCCTGCTCTATTTTCCATCTTGGTCTTTATATCAGCATATGTTATTGTTGAGGCGAGTGGAGTCTTCATAACATCTGTGAGGTCTCCTATGCGCTTCTGAGTCTGGTTAGCAATTGCTTTGAGGGAACTGTCATGCAGGCCAAAGTCCTTGCAGTAATCTCTCATACATTCTGCCACAATGGTAGCAGTCGCCTCCTTAGAGAAGATAAAAGCGACAGAGAGACCGAGACCTAGGGCACCTGGCCTCCACGTTGTCCCCTGGATCGCCTTTTTCTTCTCTTGTAGGACAGAGCGAGAGATGGTAAGTAACATACTGGTCTGTCTGCTGAGGATGGATGAAATGTGGGTCTTCAGGCGGGGTAAATCATACTTGTCATGATTCCGAATGGATGTAAGAAACACGTCAGTAGAGGAAATCCCTGCAGTTTGCAGACGATTGTTGAAATCCTTTCGGATCTGGTCCAGGGTTTTCTCCTCGGAGTAGCCTTTTTTCTTTTCATTATCCAAGTCCTTGTCCACTTTGGAGCGCACAAAGCAAAAGCCTTTTCCCATTTTCTGAATCTCTCTGGCAAGGCTGAAATGGATGGCTGTGCAGCGTTCAGAGGTGATGATAATGAAAAAGTCATAATTGCTGAAATGTGCATTCTCAATGTATTGGCTTTCTTTAAAACATGTGCCGATTCCTGGCAGATCCCAGAGAGTTACACGAGGATTACTGGGAAATATGTATGATTCAATTTCCTTTGTAGTTCCTATTTTGGCAGCATCTTTATCATTATTACTCAGATCCCTAATTGTATTAATCAAGGAAGATACACCAGAGCCAGATTTTCCTACAACAGCAACATTACACCTTGAAAGAATAATCTTTGTAATAGAAACTGCTTTTGAAAGATCACCTGTTTTGACAGCTGCCTTGAATTCTTCTGTTGACATGATGGCATTAATAGCTCCTATTTCTTACTATCAGAAAATTGGATCCAAGCCAACTCTCATAAATAGGATATGTAATATTAGTGACTACACGAGCTTAGCAGCACTCGGAAAAGGACATCAAAGGCTACAAACCATGATGCTTCAGGGCACAGGCCAAACATTAATAAACAGAGATAATGAAACCAACACCTCATGTAGGAGGGGTATCACATCACTGTGAACCAGGCAATTTCTTGCTCTTCCCTCTGACAAGCAGCTCAAAGTGGTCACATGTGGAGACAAGAAGTTGGTCTAGAAGATGAAGCAGGGGTCTGATCTGGTTTGCAGATTCCTAAATTCTGAGAAAAGGCAAAGAAACAGTTAGATTATTATCAGTAATCTTGGGTGTCTCAGAATGTTTTGCGACTGTAACTTCTAAACTGGGATGTTCACAGTCACTCAGCCTGGACCCTTGCAGCCTACAAGCAACATGCCAGACATGTTCTGGCTTCCACCAGCCTTTGTTACAACCAGCAAGGGGACCCCAACAGACACCTGGTCCTGATTGTTCTGCAAACCCATGTGCTCTGCAATGTCCAGCCCTCTCCTGGACTCTTTAGACAAATGACGCGGTTGGTTTGTTCCTCCAGACCAGGGGCCTCCAACTTTTTCATGCTCAAGATCACTGTTTGAATTTGAGGGCAACCCAGGATCTACCCTGCACCTTCTCCAAGGCTCCACCTCTTCCCAAAGCCCTGCCCACTCCACCCTCCTCCCTCCATCACTCTCCCCCGTCAATTCACTTTCGGTTGGCTGAGACAGAGGATTGGGGTGCAGGAGGGGTGAGAGTTGCAGGCTCTGGGTGGGGGGATGGGTGCAGGAGGGTTTCCAGGCTGGGGCAGGGTGTTGAATGCAGGAAGGGATGACAGGCATGAACTCTGGTAGAGGGTTTGGGTGCCGGTTCAGGGCTGGCACAAGGGTTGGATGTGGCCAGAAGGCGCTTACCACAGACGGTTCCCGATCGGCAGCACCGTGGGGCTCAAACAAGCTGCTTTAGCCTGGCCCTCAGCTGCTCCTTGCAATGCTGGCTGGGAGCAGGCACCTCTGTGGGCAGCCCTTGGGGGTGGGGAGGAGGGAGAAGGGGTGTCCATACACTGCACTGCTGCCTGGTGCCTGCACGCTCCACCCCATTGGACAAGTCCCAGTCAATGGAACCTGCTAGACTCCCAGAACCCCAAGATAGGCAGAGACGTCAGGAGTCATCGAGTCCAGCCTCCTGCCCAATGCAGGACCAGCCCCAACTCCATCATCCCAGCCAGAGATTGGTCCAACCAAGTCTTAAAAATCTCCAGGGATGGGTTTCCACCCCCTCCCTAGGGAACCCAGCCCAGCGCTTCCTCACCTGCCTAGGGAAATTGTTTGCTCTAATCTCCAACCTAGACCTCTCTCTCTGACACGCCTGGTTTAAACACACTGTAAATGTAACTGGAACATATTGCCATGACTCTTAATACCCATTGCACACAGACATCACCCCAAAATATCATGGGCAGTTGGTGTGGCTGGAGCCCAATCTCCTGTCTTGCTCCCTCCTTTGAGGCCCCGTCCACACCACAGGGAGGGGATGAGCGCATGCCCCTCAGCCTCCTCAGAGCAGCAGGGACGGAGGCGGCCACATGGCTCCAACTGGTCCCCAGAGCACTAAGAAGGGAGGTGGTGGCATAGCCCAAGTCACGCCCAAGCCCAGAGAGGGTAGGTACAGGGGGCAGCAACACTGTGCCCCCTAGAACACCTACAACAGGCGTTCTGGGGGCAGAGTGTGGGTGGGGCCAGGCTAGCAGTTTGGGAAGGTTGGGTCTTCTCTTGCCTAAGCCCCTGGATGCCCACGCAGAATATTGATAACGTCTGAATATCAGTTTTCAAATGATACCTCACAAGACATATTTTGTACAAAGATTACTACAACAGGACGTAGGGTGTGAATACAAGGGTGCTTCGGGTCACAAGGAATGCACGTTAATATTCTAAATATTTTTTATTAACTGAAGGGCTCCTGACTCCCCATGCCAGGAATTCACTCACATTTTGATCCTCACCTTGTACTTCTGTCTCTTAAAACTTAGGTACATCTACACAGCTGTGTTATTTTGGAAGATCTGACATTATTCCAAAATAACATAGTGCGCATCTATGCTGAAAGCCATTATTTCAACATAATGTCGAGCTGGGGGACTTCTTACTCTGACTCCTGTAATCCTCATTTCACGAGGAGTAAGAGAAGTCGGGGGAAGAGTGTTCTTTCTTCGACTTCCTGCTGTGCCAACAACACCAAAAGCCAAATAAAGCTATTTTGACTTCAGCTACGCAATTGACGTTGCCGAAGTTGAGTAGCTTCATTTAATTTTAGCCCCACTGTGTAAATGTACCCTAGACCTGGCCAGTTTTTCCGGAAAATCAGCCGCTTTTCCAGAAAAACTTGTCAGCTGTCTACACTGGCCACTTGAATTTCCGCAAAAGCACTGACGATCTCATGTAAGATTGTCAGTGTTCTTGCGGAAATACTATGCTGCTCCCATTCGGGCAAAAGTCCTTTTGCGCAAAACTTTTGTGCAAAAGGGCCAGTGTAGACAGCTGAGATTTGTTTTGCACAAAAAAGCCCTGATTGTGAAAATGGCGATCGAGGCTTTTTTGCGGAAAAGCGCATCTAGATTGGCACGGACGCTTTTCTGCAAAAAGTGCGGAAAAGCGTCCTGCCAATCTAGACGCTCTGTTCTGAAAATGCTTTTAACGGAAAACTTGTCCGTTAAAAGAATTTCCAGAAAATCATGCCAGTCTAGACACAGCGTAAGTGTACTGTGTGAGGCTAAAGAAAGATTCAGAGGGGATAAATGAGGAAGGATATTGGAGAAGCAGACCCTGAAAGAGTAACAGAGTGAGACTAAATGGCGGAGTCTTGGAAATCGATCTGATCTGAGATAACAAGTGAAAGATTTAAAAGGTGGTAAAAGCAGTGCACACAAGGAAAATGTATTGTTATTCTTCTGGAGATTGGAAGCTTAGTTAATGTTTGTTAGACCATGATCACCTTCCTCTAGGTGTCCTGAGTCATTCAATAGAATTGAGTAGAGAATTCTGTATTTCAGATTGGAGTTGTCTGAAAATCCCAGCCCCTCAATTATTTCACAAGTAAAATCTGTTCTGTATAGAGTGTCTCCACAGCTTATCAGTTTAGTCACAAAGCATTTTGTTTACACGTTTGTTCTGTTTAT